GGCCGGCGGTGGCTTCGGGGTCCTTCCGAAGCGACCGCCGACATTTTCCCCCAGCTGAGCGGTGGGGCTCCCGCTCAGCTGGGCGAAAATGCCCCTTCCGAAGGGGAATGCCGGAACCCTCCCCCATGGTCCTTCAGAAGCCACCGCTGGCATTTTCTCCCAGCTGAGCGGTGGGAGCTTCGGTCCTTCGGAAGCTCTGCCGGTCAGCTGGGGGAAAATAGGGCTATGGGGAAAAATCGCAAAGCGGTTTTCCCCCATAGGCAACATCGCAATGCAAAAGCAATCGCAAAAAGCCATCGCTATGCGGATTCATCGTTAAACAGGGCGCCCGTTAAGCGAGGCACCACTGTATGTATATATACACACATATTTCAGTTCAAAACTTCTAGTATTAAATTCAGCAAAAGTCTTTCTAATTTGAAGTGATTACCATAATACACTATCTGATATATAATCTTAACTACATAACTATGTTATAATACATGTATGTTTACTTTTCAGTCAGCAGTTTCTGTTACTGTATTTAACATAGACATTTCTAATTTAAAAGTTATATTTATCTACCACCTATACAGTAGAGAGTCCAAAATTGCTAATAGTATTTTAACCTGAATTAAATTTAATATATAATCTCAACTACATAACTATATTATAGTACACATATGTTTACTCTATCTCTCTCTATATATCTTTCAGTCAACAATTTCTAATATATTCACTATATCTTTCAGTCAACAATTTCTAATATTGTATTCAATATGAGCATTTCTAATTTAAAAGTTATATATACTTATCAACCACCTATACAGAAGAAAATCCAGAACCCGTCAATCACAATGACGGATCAGCTCCCCCCTTATCACAACAATAAACTCACAACAAAAACACACTGATCACCATAATCACCGAATCCTCTGAAAAGGACAAAAGCTGTTCCCACAGCTATAAATACTCAACTATCCAACAAACAAGTCCTATAAACTTCCTATAATCAATACACAACCTCACACTACCATCCGGCTTAGGTACTACCACTGGATAGCTTCTCCAAGGACTGAAAGAAGGTTCTGTTACTCCTAATGTTAACATTTCATCTACCTCCTTGTTAATCACCTCTCTTAGGTGATAGGGCCAGTTCCTACTCCCAGACCTAACTACCATTCCGTGGGGAGTGTTTATCTGATGTTCAACCTTATTGGTAAAGCCGGGTTTGTTTGAAAACACATTTACGAATTCCTTTTCTATCTGTCTAACTGCCAACTTTCTTTCTCCACTTACTTCGTCTCCTAATTCTAATTCTGGTGTGTCTATAAAACACAAACTGGCTTCTGGACCAAACTCCTCCTCTTCTATCTCCCCCATGAAGGCCTCCCGGACATACCAAGCCTTCAGAAGATTTACGTGATAGATACCTGTTTTCTTTTTTCTATCTGGAGTTTTAATCTCATAATTTATCTATCCCACTCTCCTAATAACTTCATTTGGTCCTTGCCACCTGGTGAACAACTTGGCACTCTCTGGTGGTAACAGCAAAAGGACCTTCTGTCCTACCTCAAACCCCCTAGATTTAACCTTCCTATCATAACGAAGTTTTTGTCCTATTTGTGCTTGTTCCATCCTTGATTTAGCTACATCAGCCACCATCTTAAGGTGTTCTCTCATCTCTATCACCTGTTGTACTACTATCTGTGCTTCATCTTTGCCTGTTTCCCATTTCTCTTTAACCAGATCCAAAATGCCTCTTGGGTTCCAACCATACATCATTTCAAAAGGAGAGAACCCAGTAGAAGCCTTTGGCACTTCTCTTATAGCAAACATGAGAGGGGCTACCAATAAATGCCATCTTTGAGGCTTATCCATCACTAGCTTACATAGCATCCCTTTTAGTGTCTTATTAAATCTTTCCACTAGCCCATTGGTTACTTTTAGTGTCTTATTAAATCTTTCCTGACTAGCCCATTGGTTTGCGGGTGGTATACAGAGGTGTATATAGGGCGTATGTCTAATAACTTCCACATCTCTTTCAATGTCTGACTCATAAAATTGGTGCCTTGATCTGTCAATACCTCTATGGGGAAACCTAGTCTAGAAAACACCAACATCAGTTCTCTAGCTAATACCTTTGCAGTGGTAGACCTAAGGGGAATAGCCTCTGGGTATCTAGTTGCCTAGTCGATAATCAGTAGTATGTGAGTATCTCCCCCTTCATATTTGGTTAAAGGTCCTACTATATCCATCCCAATCCTTTCAAAAGGTTTATCTACTAATGGCATAGGTATTAGGGGGGCACCTGGTCTGGGTTTCGTCTGTGTTTTCTGACATTCTTCGCATGTCTTACAATATTCTTCTACTTCTTTGGCCATCTCTGGCCACCAAAACCTGCTAGTTATTCGAGGTAACATTTTTCTCACTGCTAGATGGCCAGCCATATGAGTATCATGGGCCAATTGTAATATATTCCTTCTCCATTTAACTGGGACTGCTAATTACTTAACCCCATCAGCATCCACACGGTATAATAAACCGTCTATCATTTCGAAACCCACATCTCCCATGACCACACTTCCCTCCTCTCCTGCTTTCCCCAAACTCTCTTGCAGGGTTGGATTGTCTTGCTGCCACAGCCTGGTTTGTGCGCAAGAGGTCTCTTGAAAAGTCAGTTTCTCTTTCTGTTCCCACGCACTCCCCTTGCAATCCTTCTTTTAATTCTAACAACTTGCTGGCCCCCACCCAGTCTCTTCCCAACAGCATTTCTCTTGAAAGTCTAGGGACTATCCCCACTCTTAGTCTTCTTCGAACCCCTCCAATTTCAACATCCGCCCAAGTCATTTTATATGTCTTAGTATCTCCATGGATACAAGTCACTGTTAAACTTTCCTCCGTTTCCACACCCACCAGCTCCCTTACAAGCATCTTGCCGCATCCTGTATCCACCAACACTTTTTTATTCTGCTCATTGACCTTCGCCATCACCTCCCATCCACTCTGTTCTGACCTGTAGGCATGCAAAGTCTCTCCTTGTTGTCCCACCCACGAACAATCTACCCCTGGGCAGTCCTGACGTACGTGTCCTGCGACGCCACATTCGGAACAGATCAAGAGTCCATCTTTCCCCCTCTTCCATTTGTCTACTATCTCTTGCAGTTGGGGTTTGAAAGTAATTGGGCAAATCGGTTTGGGTGCCATGGGCTCAAAGGAGCGTCCACGGCCGTGTGCAGAGACTCCACTACCGGCAACTCCACATGGAGACACCCCTGAGTTGTTGCCGGTAGCCATCTTCTCTCTCCCTTTGTTACGTTCCCAGGAAGAGGAGGAGCCTTCTCTCGCTCCCTCCTCTGCATTAGAAAAATCTTTCACTAGGAGAATAGTTTCTTCCAGTCTCTTCAGGTGATTTCTCTGGACCCAACTTCTCATATTACTGTTCATTGTTGTAATCATTTGCTCCATTACAAACATTTCTATGATTTGCTCTTTAGTCTTCTGGCTTCAGCCACCTTATCACGTTGGCTTTCATTCTCTGCACCAATGGTCTCGGGTGCACGCCTGACTTCATCTTTAAATCTCTAAATCTTTTCCTATACGCCTCCTCTATCAAATTCAATGTATGCAATATGGCAGTTTTTACGTCTTCATATCTCGCAGCCTTGTCTGTAGAGTGTGTGTCAATAACCTCTTGTAACACCCCAGTGAGACAGGGCACTAGTATCAAAGTCCATTGCTCCTTCGGCCAGCCTGCCGCTGTTGCTACTCTTTCAAAGGTATGCAGATAACCTTCAGGATCGTCTGCATTCCCCATTTTCAGAATACGTATAGGAGCTGGTCCGGCTATCCATGGGTTTTTAATTACTCCTTCTTTCTTGTTCTCTTTGTTCTCATCCACATCAGGTTTAAGGAACCTCTTAATCAGAGTTTGTTGTTCTGTCATGTTTTCTATCATTTTCTCCTGTTGTTCTATGGTCTTCCTCAAATATGACATTTCTGAATTTCAACAACAACTTCTATGGGTTCTAAACTGTCCCAATCATTCAACTTTTTCTCCACCTTCCCATACTGATTTACTACATACTTGTTCCTTAAAACCGGGGAGCCGGACCAAATCGCTCCTTGTCGGTAGGCTTCCCGAGGGAGGCACTTCTCACCGCAAAGAGAGTTCCACAACAAGGGTGCTGTGCCCAGTCTTCCTCCGGTGCTGGTTTGTCGAAAGTCGCGTCTGGCCGTACCACCTTCATCCAAGGACCCTGACCTTGTGGGTAAACCACCAACGTCCATTCCGTCATTTCTTGCACCACCACGCCTCCTCGCTTAGACTCTGCATCTGGTAACAACCCACCGACCCTCTGATTTGGGAGGTCTTCTAACAGATCTCTTACTTCATGCGCCTTTGTTTTCCTCTCTCTCTCCTCTCTCTCTTTTTGTCCATTGTTACTTGAAATTCTCGTGCCTTCTCCTCCCCTCTTATACCTTCCTCCCAAACCTCTACCCATTGCTCCTCCTCCTTTCCTTTCCCTTCCTCTGTCAAACAAACTTCTGTTTTAACTCTCTCTTGTCCATTGACTTTCTCTTGTCCTCCTCTTTCACCGGAGGAGACGGCGCACTGATTTCCTCCTGACCTTCACAGATGGACATGGCTTTTTAACCAGCATCTACCCTGGTGCCCAGCCGAGCCCAGCTCCATAGTTCTTCTGTTGTTTATTCCTCCCTTGGCTATTCTCTGTTGGCAGGCTGAGCCGCATGTATCAGGCGGTGTCTCCCACCCCATTCAGACTAGTCAGCTGCCCTCGGGGACAGGGAAGATACAGTTCTGGTGCCAGTGTTGCCATGAGACTTGGCTGCTCATTTGATTTATTTCAGCGTAGTGAATGAGGAGGTACGATCCAGGGTGGACTTAAATCATTCATTCTTTTTAAAGTGACTTTTAAAATAATTTTAATTAAAAGCTTGGTATTTTGATTGGGAATGGGATTTAAATCAATTTGATTTTTTTAAAAAAATCATTGATTTTTTATTCACCCTGCCATCTGACCTGTTTTCTCAAGAAGCACAATGTCATGGACTGGTCTGGATGGAAAATCACAACAGTAAACTGTTCTGAAACTATATATTCGTGAAGGCTTTCATGGCCAGTACTTCCTAACAAAACAGGAAAAAGCAAATGGAGATAGAAGAAAAATGATATATTTCACATCATCTCTCTTTTGCTATTTCCCCTTCCCCAATAGTATCACAGACTGTAATTGTAATCTTGGTCCGAATTGTGCGTAATAATTCCTGGGTTTTTTAATAAACTGTCTGTCTGATTCCTTGTTAGTAAGAAATCCTTACTAATTCAGGACAGACAAACAAGACAGGTTTACAATACATACGTACCCTGTTTCCCTGAAAATAAGACCTAACCTGAAAATAAGCCCTAGTATGATTTTTCAGGATGCTTGTAATATAAGCCATACACCAAAAATAAGCCACAGTTAAGTGAAACAGGCCCTCCAGCCTTGTGCAGCAACCAGGAGAAGATGACATGACTGTATTTTAATAAATGTAGATTGTTGTACATGAAAAAAATATATAAAACGTTCCCTGAAAATAAGCCCTAATGCATTTTTTGGAACAAAATTTAATATAAAACCCTGTCTTATTTTCAGGGAAACACCGTATATATATACGCCCTAGTGTGATTTTTCAGGATATATAATATGATGCAGCAGTTTTTATTATAAACACATAACAGCTAATAATGTACCAGTGTCAGTTGTTTCATTTTCTAAGAATTCTGCAGCTGATTGGTTGATTGTAAAATGTTTAATAGCCTCATTTGTTTTGGCAGTATTGAAGGTTAATATTGTGATTTTGGTTTTCCCATAGGGGCACAAGAAGTTCTTATTGATCCAGGTATATTGTCTGTATACATGTGTTGTGTCAAAACCTGTTTTTCATTTAACTGTTTCTTTTAATGTATATATGTTGTTGCTGTAAATAGTATATGAGTGTATTAACTTCCATCTTCTCAGTCTTAACAAGTTATAGATTTGAAGATTTCTTAGTTATTTTTTTAATAGATTTATCTTATTAATAGGCCGCCTTTCTCACAATAAGGGGACTTAAGGCAGTATTAAAAAGTAAAAAAAGCCCTACAATGTTACACATTAAAAACAATTTAACTGTAAAACTGATTAAAATACATTTAATGATTAAAAGCATATAAAATGATAAACACTATCTTAACTGAAAAATAGCTTTCTGGGACTCAGTGATGGTTGTTAAAAGCCGGCCTGCAAAGATGGGCCTTCAGCTCTTAGCGGAAGAATAAAAGGGAGGGGGCCAACCTAGCCTCCTGAGAGAGAACATTCTGTGCCTGTGCCAGCAATGGGACTGAGAAGAGGGCCGCCTATGATGATATTAATTGCTGAGAAGATTTCATATTCCTGAAATAATAGAAACGTATGACTTTTGCCCTCGGTTAAAACTTTATTATAGAAATGTTTCTCTAGAAAATGCTTTCTGATGTGCATTTGGTTTTACTCTGGTCTGACTTACATTAACTGGGTGCCTCTGTTAATCTGAAATGTTTTGCTTCACTCCAATGCAGGGGCCCTCACTTCAAATGGCATTAATGCAGATACCAGTACTGAAATAGGGCGTGCTAAAAATTGTCTTAGCCCTGAAGACATTATCGATAAATACAAAGAGGCTATTTCCTACTATAGCAAGGTAGTATTGCTATATTATGAGAACTCTTTATTTGTGAAATATAGTTCATCTAGCTTGTTTTAGTTTGATTCGCGTGATTTCATGGGAAGAGTGTAAATGATTTCCAATGGGAAAATAAGGTAGCAGGGAATGGATGGACGTGCTTATTGTTTTGTTCATATCATTGCTCATTCTTTCATAATGATGTTAGCTTGAAAAGGGCTTTCCCACTTTGCATGTGTGATTTGGGGATATTGAGAATTCTAGGCTTGTGATCATATGCCGAGGTGAACAGATGCGTACATTTGCATCTTTAGGGAAATATCTTCATTGAGTTGTAACATGAAATTATTATTTAGCATCAGGTGACTAAACATTCGGTTTACCAGCTTCTCTACTCCAGATCTTCTTCTTCTTTTAGAATTGTGAGGTATATATTAGAAGTGTTTCCCTCTACCTCCTTAATTAACCATAGTTCATTATTATGTACTAGACCAGTGGTCCCCAACCTTTATAGCCCTGCGGACTGGCTGAGGAAGGCGGGGGCACCCCCCCCTGCACGGGCACGCATATGCACAAAGGAGCAGGCACGTTCTTGCACGGGCGCATGCGCAAAGGAGTGGGGTCTGCTCATACAGTTGCGTGCACGCTTGTGTGCATGTGCATAGGGCGATGTAGAGCTCATGCAGGTCTGCTCACGCTTGCGCGCAGGCGCAAACTGGCTATGCGGAGGGAGAGTGTGTGCGGAGGGGGAGGGGGAGGTCTGTTTCCACGGACCAGTCCAGCTCAGGCTATGAACTGGCACCAGGCTGCGGACCAGGTATTGGGGACCTCTGTACTAGACTGCCCAAATTCTGCTTGGTATGAGTTGTGATTTCGGGAAACAAGTAATCTTCCGATTGAGATTTATATCTCTTTTTTTCCCTAGGTAAACAGATACTTTTTTCATTTTTAATCAGATCCCACTAAAAGAATTAAGACTGTAGAACACTAAAGATTTTTAAGGCATCTTCTCATGGGAAAGAACTGTCCATGCAGGTTTGATTTAGGATGTATTTCAGAGCCACGTATTTTAATATTGCATGAGTCCATTATATGTTTTTATTTTGTAGTACAAGAATGCTGGTGTGATAGAGCTGGAAGCCTGCGTGAAGGCAGTGAGAGTGTTGGCGATACAGAAAAGAAGTATGGAAGCATCAGAATTCCTTCAGAATGCCGTTTATATTAACCTCCGTCAGGTGAGGCTGTTTCTTGTTTTAAAAGAAAGACATATTGTACTTGCTGAGTTCTGAATTTGTTTAAAGACGTTAAACATAAACCTGCTGAATCAGACGAAAGGCCTATTTACTATGGCATCTTGTTTTCTGTACCAATATAATATTGGGGTGGGGGAGGAGAACATCAGGATGATTTTAGAAACATGAATGCTGAAGGAGAGTTATTTAACTCATTTGGGTGATGTGTTTGAATAATTGTGTTTGGAATTTTAACGATGTAGAAGGAATTCCTGAAAAAAAAAATCCAGAACATTTAAATTTATTAATTTAATTTAGAGGAACTACTTAAGGATTTTCAGGGACTAGGTCAAGAATATGAAGAGAATAAAAATCAATAATAGGATAGGTTTTAGCACTGCATGTAGGAAAAAATCGAACACGCCTGTTAAAAAAGATTATAGAGTTGAATGAACTGTTATAATAGTCTGTTTCATTTTTAAAATTAGGAGATAAATCGTAGTTGTATAGCTGAAGTATATCTTCAGGTCTTTCAATAAATGAGAGAACTGAGCAATTTAGTTTTTCTGGAGTATTACAAAGTATACATCTGTTTCCTATACCTGCCAACTAATTTTTTCTAAGAGCTTTACCTGAGTCACCAGACCAATTTAAGCTTAAAAAGCTAATTTTGGAGCTGTTTCCCCTCTTTAGATTACAGTGCAATGGACTGACTCAGAGTGCTATACTAGACTTCATAAATCTTGCTTTAGGAAGCAGGGAACATTTGTTAGGATGTTGTTTGCCCATTCTCCCCTTCCTTGCTTTTCGTTGTTTGCTTTTAGAATTGAAGGTTAGACTTTCAAGTGTCACACCTTTTTTGTCTTATTTTTAAAATATTTTATTTTGTTTCTGCCTTCTTTGCTTTTAAGCTTTGTCTCAGCCTTATATTAAGCTGGCATTCCTCATTGGAAATTCCTTGGTTTGGATGCATTGAGCAGGGGGTTGGATTTGATGGCCTTATAAGCCCCTTCCCACTCAATTGTTCAATGATTCTATGATGTGGTGGGAAACTCTGATTTAATACAAACTGTGGACAAAGTGCTGGAGTGCCACACAGTAGAAGATTGCTCAGCCCTGCATTTATTCTCACAAACCATGGCTTATAAAAGTGGGAACATTGTTTAACATATCTGTAATCCTGTATCTCAGACAATCTCACTGCTTCAAGTAAGATTCCAGTATAGTCTGTATGTGTTGGAACCTAAACATTGCTCTCTTGGAAGTCCTAATGTCAGTTTGTGAGGGGTGTGATCAGACAGAGTTATGGCTTGCATTTTGAACTGTTTGGAACGTGGTCCAGTTCAAGCTATTTTCTGGTGTCTACAATGATGTAGAATGATGAAATTGTGAACCAGTCTGACCCTGCCTTGTGCCCAATCCAGATGTTTTTGGTTCACTGGCATGGAGCTGGACTGGAGTGATGGGTACTGGATACTGTGTGCATGGAAGGGTCATTTAAAGGATGACAGTGAAGTGACCCTTTCCTGTGTCAGCCAATGTGGTCCAGCTTCCCTGTCTAATTGCACCCTTAACCAGTTGGCCATTTCTGTCTCTGTTGGCATAGTGTTATAATGTTGCTCATTTTAAAGGTATGCAGATGTTGTTTTATTTTCATTTCATTGTCTATTTTTATTTTTCACACATACAGAGACATGTTTCTTCAGAACATTTGAGGATATGTTATCAGCAATTGAAGCAATGTTTATGCTTGTTTGGGGTGCTGTTCACTAGGGGTCAGCAGTGTGTCATTGTAAAATGAAATTTTTGCTATGGTTTGTGTACTGCTGATGTAAAATATTGCTTAACAGTGAATTCAAAGTACCTTTCTCTTGCGGAATTATTTTCTCTTGTGGCTTTATTTGTTTCATTAAATATTATAGTCGAACAACAGAAATAATGAGACCTGCTGGGATTTCATAAAACTGAAACAGAATTGATGTTTTGGGTTAGTTACATTATTTGATTCTTGACAAGCCTCATGTTACTTGTCATCAAACCTGTGTTCTTAGACAGAACTGTCAGTTGAACCATTGAAAGTGTTTTAATTTCTCCTGTCTCATTGCTTTTTCCTCGCACTCTTACTGGCTTGCCACCTTCCCTTGAGCTATAGAAATGTTGGTTACTTCGTGTGGCCAGTGGGAGAACACAGAACAGGAAAGCAAGCAGGTCACAACTGGAAACAGAGCAAACACATTATGGGGAATGGGGTAGGAGAGCTCATTGCACAGCCGTGTTTCTGACTGTAAAAGACACCTTTTAAGTAAGTGGAGATTGGAAGAAGACAACACCCTCTCCACCAGAAGCAGCCTCAGCCTGGACCAAATATGCCTGCTCCTGGAGCTGTGTCTGAGCCCTGCTTACTTCACCTACACAGGTGTCTTTTATAGACAAACACGGCTGTGCAATGGGTTCTCTGGTGTCACCCATTGTTGCTAACATATACATGAAAAAGTGGAAAAGAAGGCACTAAACACATTCCAGGGGATGACTCCGACCCATTGGTTCAGCTATGTGGATGACACCTGGGTGAAGATCAAGATTCAGAAAGTACAGGCCTTCACAGACTACATACTGTAAATGCAGTGGACCCAAATATCAGGTTCACCAGGAAAGACATCAAAGACAACTGGTTGGCTTTCCTGGACTGTGCAGTCATCATAGCATCCAAGGGCAGCTTAGTAATAGAAATCTATAGAAAATCTACACACTGATCAATATCTGTGGTTTGACTCTCATCACCCATTACAACACAAGCTAGGGGTCATACTAAACCACAGAACAAGAAACATCCCCACCTCCGCAGAAAGTAGGAAGAAGGAAGACAGACATCTGAAGATAACCCATAAGGCCTGTGGATATCCAGAATGGTCCTTTAACAAAGCAATGTCCCGACCCAACAGGACAATGGAACAGTTTGAGATCCAGAACTGATGGAAGAACTTGGTCATTCCTTACATGGTGGGTGTGTTGGAAAAGCTCAAAAGGATTTTTGGTAAGCACCACATACCCAAGCACTTCAAACCCACAAACACACTAAGGCAGAGACTCATCCACTCAAAAGACTGAACACCAAAACACAACAGGAGCAATATAGTACATGCGGTCCATTGTAAAGAGGATTGTTCGGAGCTGTACATTGGAGTAGCCAAACAGCTACTAAATAGGAGAATGGCCCAGCACAGGAGGGACAACGGCTCAGGACCACAATCAGCAGTGTTCTTTCATTTGAAGGACAAAGGACATTCATTTGATGACCAAGATGTACTCATTTTGACTGAGAAGATAGGTGGTTTGAGAGAGGGGTCATGGAGGCCATACATGTCCATATAGAAAATCCTTCACCCAACAGGGGCTGAGGCCTTAGATACAATCTGTCTTTTATTTATCATGTTGCCCTTTCAACCGTCCCCAGAGAGATCAGGACCACACACCAGAAAGACCACTGTTAATGACCCATGACCATGGGTGGAGAAGGATTGTAGAGGTGGGATTTTCACTCACCCACCCCCTGTCCATTGTCCATCTAAGGAGTCTGTTCAGACCAGAGGGAAGTGAAACCAACCTGGAGGAGATATCAGGGGTCTCCTACCAACTCTCCTCAGACTGAAGAAGCAACTTGGCTGAGTAGCGAAACGTTTTAACCTCCTAAGAAATAAGTCCAGTTGCCATCACTCGACTTCCAGACACACTTGAAAGTGTTGAAGGATCATCGGTGATGTAAAATGTAATATACAGATAATTTGTCTGTGCTGATGGAAACTTTTATGTTCCTACATCAAATTAACTCTTCAGGAATACAGAAGAATCTTTTATCTGTTGGAATATGTAAGAGTATTTTTTCAGCCATCAAGAAAATCTTTGTATTCACGAAGGCTTTCACGGCCGGGATCTCATGGTTGTTGTGGGTTTTTCGGGGTCTTTGACCATGTTCTGAAGGTTGTTCTTCCTGACGTTTCGCCAGTCTCTGTGGCCGGCATCTTCAGAGGACAGCGCTCTGTGCTCTGGTGTAGTTGGCTTGAGTGCTGTTCTCTGAAGATGCCAGCCACAGAAACTGGCGAAACGTTAGGAAGAACAACCTTCAGAACACGGCCAAAGAGCCTGAAAAATCCACAACAACCACAAGAAAATCTTTGTTTTTGATTTTGAAAGCTGTTTTGCACAACTTAAAAAAATATGTCATTTAAATATAGGTATAATTTGTTAGTTATTTATTAATTAACTGTACTTTCTAGTACAGTTCTTGAGCCACACAAGATGGTAACCACAACAGTGTGAAAACACAATCATTATACCATATGATAAAACAAGCATATAATAGCAAATAAAAATAAAAATGTAGAAATATAACAGATTCAGTAAAATCAACAGTCTACAGTTTGTGGAGTAGAAAGAAGGTATAAAATGCACATTAGTTTTTTATACAAAAAATGTACATTAGTTTTTATACAAAATATTTCTTTAGGATGCCCTTGTTAGAAATTGACCAGTGAAGTATATGTGTGTGTGTTGTGGAGAGCCACAAATTTAGCAGGGTTCAAGATTGTTTAGTGTTGCAGCTGCTTACAATACTGAAAAGGTGAAATTTGTTGTTTGTTTGTATGCAGTGCGAATGCATGAAATGGAAGGAAGAGACTTTTCTCTGGCATGAAAGCCATGTTATATAACTGGCCAATTTTCATCTCTCTGTCTTTCTCTTTAGATATTCTCCCATCCACTTCCAGTATTTTCATTGTCTTGCCTCTTTCTGAAGCCGTATACAGTATGCTGTGCATGAGTATGATACACCAAGCTGCATTTGGATGAACTTTTCTCAATAAAAGATTCTTCTCTTTTTTAACCTGTCAGCTGTCTGAAGAGGAAAAAATTCAGCGTTACAGCATTCTTTCTGAGCTTTATGAGCGTATTGGATTTCATCGCAAATCAGCCTTTTTCAAGCGTGTGGCGGCAATGCAGTGTGTGGCACCTAGTATAACAGAACCAGGCTGGAGAGCCTGCTATAAACTACTGCTGGAGACTCTTCCTGGTTATAGTCTGTCTTTGGATCCTAAGGATTTCAGCAAAGGTATTGAGGAATTCTGGAAGGAAAATGGGAATCGTTGGCACTTCAAGCACCACATTGTTTTGCTTCCTTGTGGGTTTTTAAAAAATGCAAGTTTGAAACTGATTGAGAGATTCTCTCCTGGATTAGAAGCCAGCTGGAGATAGAATTAACCCTTCCATGCTCAAAAAGCACAGTTCAACTCTGTGTTTGTAGAACTTGCATTGATTGAATTTATAAATTCAGTTTTCAAAGAATGATAACAGAGCGAGTTCTGTTTGGCTTGAATGAGTGATTTACGTGAGAATGGTACAACAGTGTCTAGAAAAAGACTGAGAGAAATATATCTAGGATTTCAAGAACATTAACAAACGCTGTGGGAGTTTTCTCTGGTGATCTTCCCATCCCAAGTCCTCCAGTAAGGCTTTAAATGAGATTAGTAGCCCAGGAAATGAGGTTTAGCAGATGAATGAATGTCTGAATATATTTCCATTCCACAAACCTGAAAGTTGACCTTTTGTCTATTGTTGTCACCTTTCTAAAATTCACCATCAAAAGGCCTTATTGAAGGCATTGTTCAGGGGACTGTGATTTCTGTTCACTTTTGAAATATATTAATATAACAAATAATTTTGATTTTTCTTTAAGGAACCCATCGTGGCTGGGCTGCTGTGCAGATGCGTTTACTCCACGAATTAGTGTATGCTTCTAGAAGAATGGGAAACCCAGCACTTTCTGTTCGACACTTATCCTTTCTCTTGCAAACTATGCTGGATTTTCTTTCTGATCAAGGTCTGTTTTTTAAAAAATTAATATATTATTATTATTATTAAATAAACTGATTTATGCTACTTGTACAAGTATTGCACTAAGCACAACAAAAGCTTAGTAAAATATTTGGGGGCACATTTCAAAATGGCAGTTTTAAAGATGCCTAGTATAGTATTGTGCTTTGGCACCTACATAGAGAATTATTGACAAAATAAGCCTCTTTTCACCTGAATAATTTTAACTTTCTGAGGACAGAGAATAAGTAATTAGGTTCATAACTTCCAAAAAAATAACTGAATGTTTATATGGAGCATAGAAAGCTGCCTTACACTTGACAGATATTTTGGTCCATCTATCTCACAGTTATCTAAACTGAGTGGTATTGACTCTCAGCTAGTGATTCTTTATTTTATTTTTTTGCTTCATTTGAATATGCCAGTATGGAAATCAGGATTTTTCAAGTGCTCTTTGCTGTTTAGCAGTGTATTAAGAATAATAAACATGGGTGGAAAGTCATTTTTAATTATTGACTTTGTTATAAAATTTACATATAAATGAAAATAACATTATTGAATTTCATTAAGTAAATTTCAAAGTGATGGTCTTCTTTAATGTATCTGTTAATTTTCTGGATAGTTGCTCACTCTTTCAAATATGGCCTTTTCTGGGTCACAGAAGCTGTAAACCTGATCAGTCTGTAGTTCGTACACTTTTATGAGGACATCTGTGTATAATTTGTACCACTTTTGTGTATGTGTACAATCACATATAGAGCTTGTCAGGACAAGCAGATGCATTCTATATTGAGCATGATGGATAAGCTGAATCTCACAAAGCTCCTAAATAAATTCAGGTGGAACTAATTTATGCAGTTGTGGAGTGAGAGTGATGTATGTTGTTGAAAACATAGGCCTAAGTTCAGTTGCTGTTCCCATCTAGGATAGACACCTTGAATCAATTGATGAACAGGGGTATAAATCTAATAAAATAAATAAAAATAAAAATAAAAAGTCAGTTAAATGGCTTCAGTAGGTCTATTCTGTTGGAACTATCAGCTGGGTTCAGGCCATGGGCTATAGAGGTGTGTGATTCTGATTTACTGGCCAGTATCCTCTTTGTGCCATATCTGTTTGACAAACCATAATTCTAGGGTAAGGTAATCTATATACTTGGAGAAACATCTTAGTAATTTTGGTATAGATTTAATAGAAACTACTGCTTTCTTTCAGAAAAGAAAGATGTAACGCAAAGTCTAGAAAACTATACATCAAAATGCCCTGGCACAATGGAATTCATTACACTTCCAGATGGCTTAAAACTCCCTCCTGTTCCATTCACAAAGCTTCCTATTGTAAGGTAACCTCTGTTTCTAAATCTCGTATAAATTGTGTCTTGTCAGTTTTGGTATTTTGCACTATGGGAATTAAAATATTTGTGATTCGTATGTTGTCTAGAACTCCCTGTAGAGCATTCTAGAAAATTGTAGTAGAACATGGCAGTTTTTCCCCTTAAAAGTTGTAGTGCCAAGGAAGTGACACTTCTGTACATAGTAATTAAATCTTCTTTGTTACCTGTACCCTTCCAAGCACATGTTCAAAGCTTCTACCCAGTTCCTGCTGACTGCTGTACAAACAGGATCAAAAATTCACTTGGCGTAGGACAGAGGTGTCAAGTTCAATTTCATCTTGGGCATTTCATCAGCATTATGGTTGCCCTGAAAGGGTTGTATCTGTAAGACTATATTAATGTATCTACTCATTATCATATTAAACATAATCTTCCCCATTTGATTATTATTGGTTTTAGTAATAATGTAAGTAATAACTAGCTCTGAAAGTTAAAGTCTATTATCAAAGTCTAGAAATAATGGCAAGCAGATAAGAACGGGAGTGGACAATAGTGAGGACTACATTTCCCAAGGGTGCCTGCATATTGCATACTGCACAGTAGCAGGCAATGCTGTGAGGGCCACACGAAACAGCCAGGTGGGCCAGATTCAGTCCGTGGGCCTTGAGTTTGATACATATGGCGTAGGAGAACGGAGAAAAAAAGGATATTTTCATGCTCAGTTTCTCCCTTCTTTTTTTCTCTTTTTACAATTGATTGACTCTTCTGTATTAATTTCTCATTCTTTTTGTTTTGTAATACAGTACTGTGTTTCTCAGGGGGTTTTCTTCCTTGATGATTTTGGTATATGGTGTTTTGTGAACTCCAGTGGCCATGTGCCTTCTTCTGAAAGCACACTGTGTTTCTCATGTGGTTTTCTTTCTTGATGATTTTGGTATTTGGTGTTTTGTGAACTCTGGTGGCCATGTGCCTTCTTCTGAAAGCACACTTCTTCTGGGCTCGCTATAAGAAAAACATTCCCATTTTCTTCTGGGTTTGCTAAAACATACCATGGATTTGTGCTGGCATGGCCAAGTCTTCGTGGATATTTCAAAACCTCCCATAATTTAGTGGTCAAAAGATGGTTATGCTTCAGCTGCGCACAAACATCTGTTCTACCAACTCCTTACAAAATCTTTTTTTGGACATTTGGTCCCAAACTGGTGGCTATGTGAAGTCTTCCAGCAGAACATGGTGCAGACCTTTGTCTCATGTTTCCCAGCTGCTGATTCCCAGGGACATACAGTACTGCCTCTGACACTGCAGATGATATATTGAGTAGTAGTGCTCAGTGGCTCTATGTTTTGTGAATTTATCTATACTTCTCCTAATGAATCCTAATTGGTAGTCACCATCTAACAGCAGTGAATTCCACAGAGGCACTACGGTCAAAATTCTACTGGTGTTTTTTCCCCATGTGCATGAAACAACTTGCTCTGTGCCTGTGTGAGATTGTGTTTTTACCCTTTTTGTACAAGGGGGAGTTCATTTCCGCAGCAGACATGTAAACCCAGTTGTTTTTAGTGGAGCAGTCTCTGGCTTCTGTAACAGCAGGCTGTAGATTTCTTGAGTAATTGGAAGAGTTCTGCCCATGGAGCAATTATACTCTGTGATTGTACTGTACAGTATATAGTATTTTGTCCTGTATGAAGATGTCTTTTGTTTTATTTATCTTGAATCACCCTATGTGCTATTTCAGTAGATGGCCCCTGCTTTTGATATTATTAGACTGATGTTGTAGCCAACTTATACACTGTACTCTCAATTTGATTCTACTCTAAGTTTTGTTTAAGGACAGTATGATACTGCTGGTATTATCTTTGAGTCCTCTTCTAATTATGCCCCAAATGAATTCTGTCTTGTTTATATTAGCTGCACAGTTGTGTTATCATTTTCATCAAACTGTGCGTTGTAATCCCCAAATATCTTTCTTTGTCAGTTGCTGACAACTCAGATCTCAATGTATATGTGAAATTAGGTGTTACCACAAATATGCATCGCTTTGTACTTGTATGTTGTTGTTTTAACCCTGGTTGGTTAAAATTCCAGTTTCTGGAAAACGCCTTTTAATCTTTATTTGCTTTTTTCACACTGCTTGTTAGCAATGTTGGTGACCTTTTGCTAACAATCAGTGTGGAAAGTTCCTTTCCTGAGCTGTAGTATATGTTCTAGCTTAATTCATAGCAGTCTAATTAAATCTTTGAACAGAGACATGGAAATAAAGGAGATTTAAGTTAGTCATAGATATCTTTAGTCTCATTTTATTTTGATCAATCAATAGATAGATAGATTTGTATGAATACAAGCCTGAATTGGATTTATTATGACAATAACTTTGTTTAGTTTAAGGTAACTATGAATCTCTGCTGTTTTTGTGCTTTTTGGGTTTTTTTTTCTTTAAGATTTCTTTTTAAATATGCCTATGATATCAGGAATTTCTAGTATTCACATGTATTGGCATGTTTCTTTTCTTGCTATATATCATTTTAATTGTGTCTGATAAGTAATTATTAGTAATAGTTTCTCATTCCATCTAAAATTGGGTCATCCTGTCTGAAGACAATTTGTTGATTTGGCAGATCAGTGAAACTCTTAAACCTACCTGTTAGCCTTCGGCCACAGAAAATGAAAAGTTTGTTGGGTCAGAACATGTCAACCAAGAGTCCCTTTATATATTCTCCCATCATTGCTCACAATCGTGGAGAAGAACGAGGTAAAAAAATAGGTGAGAAAATTATTTCTGGTAATCATCTTTTTAAAAACTTTTGTTTCTGCATGTCACATTTATCACTGTTACTTGCTGTTTGGTTTTCATTTTTCAAATTGAATCAAACGTTTATTGCTAGATTCTGGATCGATATGCTATTCCTTCTTGATTATAAAACTGATTTGATAACTTGATTATATCTATTTTAACTTTGTTTCCAGCTGACTTTTGTGTGTATCCATTCCTCCACCCCCTCAAAGTGTGACTAACTTACTCTGTTTATTATTTCAAAATAGATTTTCAGTGGGTCCAGGGAGATGTTTGTGAAGTTCAGTTGATGGTGTACAATCCAATGCCCTTTGAACTTCGTGTAGAAAATATGGTATGTTTCAAATTCTAATTCGATTGAAACTTGTTTTAGCCTTAACCATGGCTTTCATAAATGGCAACTAGAGCTAGCATCTACAGTTAAGAAGAGATAGGGCAATTGGCTGGTGATGTTGGAGAAGCAATAAAATGAGAGTCTCTTGTCTCATGACCCATTTGTGATCTCCAAAGAGAGAACCAAAATTAATATACTTTCTGCCATAGTCCACTTTGCTATGTTGGTGCTTTTGCGTGCACTAATGATTTTGTAAGGTAAAAGAAAGATAGAAATTATTATCTGAGAGGATTTGATTCAGCTTGTGGCTTTCTGATGTTGTTAGTCTTTTTTTTATTCATCCTTCAGCATTTCTCCCAAGGCGGTTGTGGTTTATAATAATTATATTATTCGTTTGTGCTAAATGTAAGTAGCCTTCACCACTAGCTGTGCTGCCCAGGGTTTCTGGAAGTTGCAGTTGGGAACTACTGCTCCAGGTAGTAAGTGCTCAGATGTAGTTTATTTAGACATTCCTTCTGGTGATGCTGTGGGGCTCAGCAGCTTGCCCAAGGTAATACAGGTACCAGGGCGTGTAAACCCATCTGCCAGAAGTATACTGACTGATCGCAGCTGACACTCTCTTGAGAGAGAAGCACAGTAGGAATTCAAACTATTAGCCCCTGGCTCTGCAGTTGGACACTCCAACATGCTAAATCACACCAGCTCATACTGAATGCATTATCCATCAATTTCAGTGGGAGAGCCCAAAGTCTGGTTTCTTATGGGGACAATAGAAGTGATACCTAATTTCTACACATAGTACATTTTTAATAAGCCTATTGTCTGCTCTCACTGGTCATTATTACTTCAAAGTTAGAAATAACCAGTCCTATGTTGTCCAGTAACCACTGCAGGAAAAAGTATTGAGTAGGAGATTCCCCCTGCCTAATTCTAGAATAGTTGACATTGTTAAAAAGTATTCTGTTCAGCAGAGGGCAGCATGAGGTACCAAATTCTGCTGATAGAGAATATTGATTGTAATCTTCCTCCATTATAATAATACATTGGCAACATCCGTACACCATTTCAGTGCTGCTTGGTTTTGTTTTTTTAAACCATGTTTTTGTGTATATCCTATTCTTTGCACCAAAAGGAAGTTGGGGCTACTTCCTATTTTTTGCTTCTGTTCTACTGCATCTGATCTGTAATTATAGGTGAATTATAGTCCATTGTTTAATACGTTGTCCCAGTTAAAGTGTGCTCTGAATTCTGTCCACATCCAAAGATAAAATGAAGTGTAAATTAAAGAGTTTTAATTATATTATTAATGATGCCATTGTCAGGTTTGGTTGGGTATTGATGAAACACTTCTCCAGCTGCTGACCTGAAAGTCATGATCTGTAACTTCACTTAATATTGCTTCTTAATTATTGAAGTAATGACTTACTTCACTGGAAAAATATAATCAATTAGAAAGAACAGATTCATTTTAAACAAATGACTTCAAAGCTCTGGATCAGATGCAAGATTTGCTTAATTTGATGTCCTGTTTTCAGTCTTGTTGCATGCTTTTTACTTAATATAAACTAAACAGACTGCTTTCTGCCTCTCCCAGGGTCTTCTGACAAGTGGAGTTGAATTTGAATCTCTTCCTGCGGCTCTTTCTTTACCTGCCGAATCTGGTCTCTATCCAGTTACACTTGTCGGTGTCCCTCAATCAGCAGGCCAGATTACCATAAATGGTAAAAATGATCGTTGCTGTTTCCTTTAGTTTTAATCAGTTTTCTTCAGCAAAGACAGTACATTTCTGAGAGTTACTTTAGAAATTATCTTTTTCTTGTTGTTTAGGTCTCCTCTTTGTGTAAACACCCCATAAACAATATTTTTCTTTCTCTGACTCTGTCTGGTTCCACAGAAATCACTAGTACATGTGAAACAGTAGCAAATTGTCTCTTGGTTTCTGTTATCTTATTCATGAAACTGTAACTAATTTCATGAATATGTTTCTAAAAAATCAATTTAAAATTAGTAGCTGCAGGTGTTTTTTCATTCAGATTTTAATTTGCAGGTTAATGGGAAAACAGAGAAGAACAAACTTACATGTAAACATATATTGGCACAATATGAATCAGAAACAAATTGATTTGTTAGTTCCGTTAACTTCCTTCCATTTGTTTTCTTCCTTGATATTATTGGAAGATTCTGTTGTGGTCATAACAAAGTGACATATGTTCTTGAAGTTTGGACCCATTTAAGGATGAATAGGTTTAAGGATGAATTGGCCTTTCTGTATTATGACTTTCATTGCTTCGATGTCATCAAGCAAGTATATTTTTTATGGATTCCTAACCCCTGGAACTTTCCTAAGGTAGCAGTTGACAGGTAATCACTGTATACTAGCTGGATGAACTAGTTCTAATGAACTACTTCATGGATAACTAAACTTTTCTTTCTTTTTTCCAGAAATTGGATAATAGTTTTGCTTCTGACACTGTCAGCTATAATTGGGTTTGTGTCTATGGCTTGACAATGGATTTGGGTCATTTCGCACACTCATGATCTATCTCTCTTGATGATAGGTTATAATACTTCAGTCTTTGGAGTCTTCAGTGATTGCCTTCTGGATAAATTACCCGGAATAAAGACCAATGGTTGTACAGTGGAAGTTATTCCAGCTTTGCCTAGATTACAGATTAGTACTTCATTACCAAGGTAAGCATCCTGGATGTTCATTTTTAAAATTTAGGAGCTCGGAGCACTGGTTAGTGTCCATAGAACTGTAGGATTAGTACTTACTTTTCATTAAATGAATAAGTTTTTAAAAATCCAAACATTTTTATCCAATTGCTTTCTTCAAAACTCTAAAACAATAAAGGTCCTAATTAACCATAAAATCAAAACAGTTTAAACAGCACCAAGAACAAGTCTTGAGGATTAAAAGGTCAAAACAAGACGTCCAAAAATTAGGAGTTGGTGCTGGTTGAAGCAGCTTGGAAAGCACATTCTGTACTGTTTTTAGTGCCGCTGAAAAGATCACTTACTGGACAACACTTGTTTAGTTCATGTAGGCAGGGACACTTTATCAAAGGTCTTCTGAAGCAGGTTTGAAACACCTAAACTTTCATATACTATCCCTGTTGAGACACGGTCCCCACATGCCATACACGTAAAGCTGAAAATGTTGTTTTTGGAGTCTCGTCGGACCGAGCAGATATGATTGTATCTGAGGGCTTTTCTGTAAACAATGGATTACGTTGTATGTTCAGGATCGAACCTGAAAGCGTGCAAGTAAGTGGAATTGTTGGGTTTTCGATACAGCACATTAATTATAGTTTTACGGTGGTGTCTAGAAAATGCACCTGTTGTGTAGATTGTTTCAGGGTGAGATTGATGTTCGGGTGAGAATTATTGAAATCTTTGTGGAATTTTTCTAGGGATTCCTTTCTATGGGTCCAGATTAGAAATATGTCATCAGTGTACCTCAAACAGTGGAGTGGTTTTTGGGTGCAGCAGTTAAGAAAGTGTTGTTCTAGGTCAGCCATAAATACGTTTGCATATTGTGGGGCCATCCGTTTGCCCATTGCACCTCCGTTGATATGGAGGTAGGTTTTATTGTCAAAGGTGAAATAGTTGTGTGTGAGTAAAAGTTCGCAGAGGATGGTGATTATGTGGGCTTCTTCCTTGTTTTGAACAGTATTTGTGATAGCCTGTAGTATGTCTCTGGATGTTGGTGAAGAGTGATTCTACATCCACTGTAGCTAGGATTGTGTTGTCTGGAAAGTCGTGTTTAGAGTGAAGTTTTCTTAGAAAGTTTGTGGTATCTCTTACATAGCTAGGTGCATTGATGGGATATGTTTTAAGGACAGAGACTAAGTATCTCAATACGCCAACAGTCACGGTGTTGATGTTTGGTACAATGGGTCTTCTGGTGTTTCCAGGTTTATACATTTTAGATAATAGGTCAAATGTGGCTGTTAGAGATTCCTGTGGTGTGTTGGCCATGATTTATTCACATATATCTTCAGGGATGTGTTTCACAAGGTTTTGATATTTTGTGGTTGGGTCTGTGATAAGGGGTTGGTAAAATTTAGAGCTGGACAATTGTCTGTCAAGTTCTTGTGTGTAGCCCCCCTTATAGGCCTTTTTGATTACTATTTTGAAATTATTTCTGAGGCTGTGCTGTATACCATCAGGTGAGATTATCTCAGCCCGGCTATTTTGAAATTGTTTCTGAGGCTGTGCTGCATACCATCAGGTGAGATTATCTCAGCCCGGACATGGTGATGATTCAGTGGACCAACCGTAGTATGATTTACTACGCTAAGAAATGTGTGACCTTCTGCTTATTTTTTTCTGAAGCTAATATAAGCTACTCTCCTGGCAAATAGAAGGGGAATATATGGAGGCAGTGACAGATTTTACTTTCTTGAGCTCCATGATCACTGCAGATGGTGACAGCAGCCACAAAATTAAAAGACACCTGCTTCTTGGGAGGAAAGTGATGACAAACCTCAACAGCATCTTAAAAAGCAGAGGCATCACAATGCCAACAAAAGTCTGAATAGTCAAAGCTATGGTTTTTCCTGTACTGATGTACGGAAGTGAGAGCTGGACCATAAAGAAAGCTGACCGCTGAAGAAGTGATGCTTTTGAATTGTGGTGCTGGAGGAGGCTCTTGAGAGTCCCCTGGACTGCAAAGAGAACAAACCTATCCATTCT